TCGCTTTATGTCAATTATGTTAAAATGAAGCTGCCTACCTAACTTGTCAGGCATTACCATACTTAAAATACAACATACTTACATGTGACCAGATGATGTATCAACATTGATATAGATAAATTAGAGAGCAAATCTAGTTGGGGTCAGATTCCTAACAGTGTATAAATTTGACTGAAAATAAATTCAGCTATTCTTTTTAGTTCCCTTTTGATCAAATAGTAAAAGTACTTCTATTACATCTATTGATTACAAAATTTCAGATTCAAGTTTTCCTTAAAAATAAATTCAGAAAAGTGTTTGCTATAAAAATGCGGGAGGTTTGGCTAGCCACAAAACCAGGTTCAACCCAACATTTTTTCTTAAAATGTCCTGTACCAAGTCAGGAAAATGGCCATTGTTATATTATAGTTCGTTTCTGTGTGTGTTACATTTTAATGTTGTGTTTCTGTTGTGTCGTAGTTCTCCTCTTATATTTGATGTGTTTCCCTCAGTTTTAGTTTGTAACCCGGATTTGTTTTTCGAACAGCGGTATACTACTGTTGCCTTTATTTGACATGATGAAATCTAGAAAACTTTTTCACAAATAAATTAAAAGTTTTAAATGCAAAGAAGACGGTAACTACACGAAATAATTACATGTTTACAGAATAACATACCTTTTGACTTTGTGAACATCCACATCTCCACGTGTGTCGATCGCATCCATTTGTAAACAAAATTAAAACGATTGCGTAACCACCGTTAGAACACTGTCCAAACCTAGCGAGAAAAGTGTTGTATGAAAACAATTCAAACGAGAATAGTCATTAAAAGAGGGACAAAAGATACCAGGGGGACAGTTAAACTCATAGATCGAAAACAAACTGACAACGCCATGGCCAAAAATAAAAAAAACAAACAGACAAATGATAGTACAGATGACACAACATAGAAAACTAAAGACTAAGCAACACGAACCCCACCAAAAAATGGGGGTGATCTCAGGTGCCCCGGAAGGGTAAGCAGATCCTGCTCCACATGTGGCACCCGTCGTGTTGCTTATCTTTATTGTATATTAACATTTATTGTCTTAATATTCTTGTTGTATAACAATTATGTCAGTTTGCAAGAATGAATCACAAGTCCGAACTATGTAATAATTAATATTGTATTAAAATATATAACTTTTAAGGTAAAAAAAACTAGTTAGATACTATTATTTCTGATAACACCAATGAATAATATTTCTCCCTAAGTATATACACATCTTTGACTTTGAAAATCTTTATATTTGAGCGTTCTGAAGTAAAGAAAAGCCAGAAAGGCTTCAGGACGCAACACCATTTATAAAACACTAAGTCATTTGATTGATTCGTAAAGTAATTAGGAATATAATGGTTATATGTTAAATGTTTTAACCATATTGCTGACAAATATTTAACAAAATCTGTCAGTCTATGACTTTCAAAAATTTATCATGATTAAAAAGGATTATTTCTCTCATAAAAAACAAACTATTTTGATCAATTGTTGATTGTAAATAATTTTCAGTATCAAAATGCATACATTAATTTGATTGATTTGTGGTAATATGTGTAAAATACATCATTGTTTTATTATTAAACGAGCACTATTTAAAGCTTCTAGAGCCATTCATTCAGCACAACACTGGACGATCGTACCAAAGCAAGTAAGTTTCTTTATTTTATCATTGCAAAATAAACTGTATAGTCTGTATAGCTAATAGTTAACGGCCCAATCTCGATTTATAGTACAAAATGTATTTAACTTTTGTCGATTTTTAAAGTTAAGAAACTTTTGAATATATTTTTTAAGACATATGGCACGACACAAGTATTCTAATTGCCACCTTTTACATAAAATATTTCCTTATCGCTAACCATTGCAAGAGGAATCCGCAAGTAAATGACATGCAGCTGTCAACAATAAAAGATCTTTTTCTCGTTTAAATTCTGTCTCATTGAAGTATTATTTGTAGTATCGTTGTAGTATATCTAAGATCTTTTACAATATCAAAAAGTTTGAAAATCATAAGTTATCAAAGAACCTTGTGAAGTTTTATCTTTTTGTGAAATAAAGACTATGTACCGTCTTTCCACTTAATGGTTTTCAAACCATAATGATTATAGTATTTGGTTTTGAATTACTTGCACTACTTTTGTAAAATGCAAGGATATTACTTGACTAAAGTCCATTTTTTTACTAGTAAAATGAATAGGTACTTACTATTGATGTTTGTCTATTATATGCAGATGATCATTTTCTATCATCTCTAGATTTAAGAATTTGCATTGATTATCAATGATAAAATTGAAAATGGAAATGGGGAATATTTCAAAGAGACAACAACCCGACCAAAGAACAGAAAACAGCAGAAGGCCACCAATGGGTCTTCAACACAGCGAGAAAATTAATTTTTTGGTCCTGTTTGGTCGTATAACTTTTCACATTTTTCGGTTCTTATACATCCTTGGCTTTCAAATATTCGGCTTCGAGAGTTTCGAATAAAGGTTTGCCCGGAAAAGGTCTTCTGACACAGAAATAATTATACAAGTTGCAAAAAATGATAAAACGTATCAAGTAGGCTGATTTCTAATATTATAGATATTATATAACTAAAAGTGATATAAAAACAATTACAGAATTAAAATATAGTTTACGAGAAGTAAACTTTTTATTTAGCACGTGACAATATCTAAGAGAATAAGATAAGGTAATCTATGAGTTTGAAAAACATACAGGTGGAAAAAAAAACGAATTGTGGCGTAAACGTTAATAAAACAGCAGCCCAAAACATAAGAACAATCGACGTCTAGATGGATAAAGATGCGCAATTCATTTCAATTCCTCTGTCCATATCGTTAAATAGGAGATAAATGATGGTTCATTTTGAAGCTGAAACATTTTCACATATGTGGTTGAAGTACGAAATGAGATTTATTTCCCGTAATTTAGCACAACCCGAAAGGCATTTGACGCAGCTTCTCGATGTAAAAACTTTCTTTTTGCAATACATTTATAACTCCATAGTTTTGACACGTTTATCATATGGTTCTCTGCTCTACAAATCAGCACAAATGGGCAATATAAGTCACTTGTTTAATAAAACTGAAACTTGTTTGATATCATTGCACAAACTTTCAGTTCCTCACTTTGAAGCGCGTTAGGGATACCGATGTCACCGTACGGACATAAGATAAGAGAATACCCTACAGTTTTTTTTTTCAATATCATACCTGTAACAACTCGGGACACCAAAAGGATCCAGAGAACTCTACTCGAGGGATTATATTTGTTGATGGTTGATATGGTTCTTGATACTGGAAAAGCCATATGTTATATACTTTATTATGTACTTAATTTTTTTCACTTGGAATGACGTAAAACAGATTAGGCCTTTGACAAAAGCCTTTACAACGGTGACTGATATCGATGACAAGACGTCTTGTATGTCAGAGGTTTGATAAAGCCTTTGTAACCGTGACTGATATCGATACCATCACTAATGGCTGAAAACCACGATTTACAATGATTGTATTGAATATACAGATTACTCAAAATGTGTACTCCAAATCGTAGTATTACATATGCAGTATTAGAAAAATATTTTATTGCTATAATAACAAATGGTATTGTTTGAATGAGTACAAATAATTTATTACAAAAAAAAAAGATAAAGCTATGTTTGTCTTGTTAAGATAAAAACACTTGCATGATCAAACGACTATAATAATATCCACAAGAATGATCATGATATCCTGTAGTTTGTGTTGGTTGCTGTCTGTCATAAACATAAATCAGTTCTTTGTTTTTCCATTTTGTTTTTCGTTGTTGAAATTCTGTTTTTATAATATTTTAAAGATAATACAGCAATGTTGACTGCTGTACCCCAATTTCTAACATTTTTATCTATTATGTCTATTGTTTTTGTTGACACATTGTTGTCAATATGATACATTTATATTTGACTGTTATACAAGTGTTTTAATCCACCATATTCTACATCAGGAAATACCTGTACCAATGCTACAATTGGTTTCCATTCGTTTAATGTCTTTGAACTTTTGATATTCCTATTTGATAGAGGACTTTCCGTTTTGAATTTTCGGTATTTTTATTATTTTACTTTTTATGAATTATTTCACATTTATGAATCACTGTTTCTTTAAAAGTATGAATTTTATTAACTATCGAAGGCTTTACAATGACCTGCTGTTGTTCAAATACTGTTTTTGGTCTATATGAATAGTTTCCAGTCACACCACAATATTTGTATACATTGATATTCAGAGCAAATATCAGATACAACTGTTTTGAAATTTTTTGGTGGTGCATATCTTCAGTCTAATGCTGACAATTGATTTAGCATCACGAGATAAAAGATTGTATTTTTTACGTGAAACATCAGTACAGTCATGTTCTCAACACTCTGTGGTATTTGATCGGGACACGCATAACAAAATAGTCTAGCTTAACTTCAGACTGTTTTATTCGTGATTCTCCTATCAAATAATTCGTAATTTTATAGAAGAGAGGGCAAAACATACCAAAGAGATATTCAAACTCATGAGTCAAAAAGAAAAAAAAAAAAAAAATTGACAACGCAATGGCTAAAATGAAATAGACACACAGACAAACAGACAAACAACAAAACACAACATAGAAAACTATAACTGAGCAACACGAACCCCGCCAAAAACTAAGAGTGATCGCAGGTGCTCCTGGGGGTAAGCAGATCCTGCTCCATATTTGTAACCCGTCATGTTGGTACAAACCCGGCAATAAGTCTAATGTGGTAGGTCACATTTTGGGAAAGGGGGATTGTAGTTACGACAATTGGAACATATCCACTATACTTATATTCCATAACGGTCCATATAGTGTTCTCGTCTATTGCAGAATGCAGATTTTAGTTGGTATACTCCTGGTCATATGTAGCGCAGTCAGCGCCTCCTATAAAGGAGGATATGGAATAGGATATGGAAGAGGTGGATACGGAGGTGGATACGGAGGATATGGTGGATTCGGACTTGGATTCGGAGGATATGGTAGATTAGGTGGATATGGAGGATATGGTGGATTTGGTGGTGGATATGGTGGTTATGGAGGTGGATATGGCGGTTATGGTGGTGGCTTTGGTGGTTACGGTCGTGGGTTTGGTGGGTACGGAGGTGGATACGGCGGTTATGGTGGTTACGGTGGTTATGGTGGTGGCTTTGGTGGTTACGGTCGTGGGTTTGGTGGGTACGGAGGTGGATACGGCGGTTATGGTGGTTATGGAGGTTACGGTGGTGTATTTGGTGGTTATGGAGGTGGATATGGCGGTTACGGTGGTGGATATGGATATGGAAAGGGAAAAGGTAAGATTATTTCTGTTTTAAATAAATAATGACTTTTTTTTCTTGGTTGCTTTTATATAGAATTGGTTTCATTTTTTTAAAAATTAATTGCTTGTTGTTGTTTTATACTCGATTTCAAAGTATTGACCGATGCCATTTCTGAATGAAGCGCGAAAGCACATTACACTAATAATGTACAACAGTTTAACGCTTAAAGATCTTTATTGAATCACTTAAAGACATATTCAAGTCTTGCATTTTCATTGTTATGCTACAACTGTGAAAATTACGAACTAGATCAAGCCGTATGTTTGTTTATTCTATGCAATGTTTAAATGTTGTTAATGATATCACGAACGGACATAGATATGCTGGAATATTATTACTTTTAGAATGCAATCGGTCAACCAAAATTAATTTCATGTTCGGAATCGTATGCCATGTAATTATACACAATTGAATACATATAACGTGTTTTGACTTTCAGTCAAAAGCAATTAGTATTTGTATGAATTGTAAACCTACTGTAAATATATACATGCACGTAGATAAAAAATACGACAAAAAAGAGGAATAGAATAAATAAAGGCAACAGTAGTATACCGATGTTCAATAGTCATAAATCGATAAAGCGAAAACAAATCCGGGTTACAAACCAAAACCGAGGGAAACACACCAACATCAATACAACAAACCAACAAAACAATAAAAGAATGTAAAAATAATTGTTAAAAAAGTTCTGATTGAAATAACTGAAATTAGAAATTTAGACATAAATGCGAAAGAGACAGCACAGAACGATAACTTCGAAAGGTCAATGTAATGCTATAACATTTATTTGTTTTGTGTTGTAGGATATTAAACACAGAATCTCTTCAACAACGAATGGTATTCTTTTTTATAACTTTGATATAAAATATAATCCATGCATTAAATTTGTGTTGAAGTTTTCTTAGATAAATCTATATATATACATATTAGTTTTAAATATGTACTACTTTCCAGTATGTTCTGTTTTGATCGGTCCCGATTAGGTAGTTTTACATCTTACAAAATCTATCCAAATTATTTTTGCGAAGAATTCCGCTCAAGCAGATGATAGGGGCCGTCTTAGACTTGCAGTTAGGTGAGAGTTTTTTTTATCCTTGTTGAAGGCCTCACTGTGACTTTGAAATGAAGAACAGCAATAAAAGCACTGATCCTTTGCTTTTTTGTGTGTATTTTTTTTGCTGTACATGAACTGATTTTGTGTCATGGATGGATACCTCGTATCCTTTGTTTTTCTATTATATATACTCTCTGCATGTATTGAAGCACCTAAAATCAGGTCGAACTGCATTGCCGTCGGAATAGCTAGTAAACTTCGAAAAAATGATGTCAAAAATTTGATTTTTCAATGCTTTACGCTACTTTTCCCCATGCTCATTAAACAGAGCTTTTTGTAACAAATAGGTAAATGGAGATGAAAATGTCACGTTTCAGATTATTAATTCATACTTGAAACCCCAATGACTCCCACAACACATACACCGAACCTGATATCACCAAAATGTTGAAATTTTTGATTGACAACATATTTGTTGAGCTTGGTGTTCGATCTTTAGATAAAAGTAAAGTCATCCGGTCTGTTATTTTAAAGATTCTTTCTTCTATTTCTGTGTCGCAACGTTGCATCAGCGTCTGCTTGCATACAAAATATATATAATACCCAGTTGATACGAAACGCCAGGGCTTGTGTTTGTTATCAGGATTGATAGAGTGGTATGCTTTTAGTAAGCTTTATGAGTGACTGCTTATAAACAAGAGAGCACCAATCAACATCCTGGATTCTTGACGCGTTTTTATTGTATAAAGAATTCAGGCCCTCGCGAGTGGGAGAGTCGATCACGGGGAGGGACTGAATTATTCGGGTTATGTAATGACCGACAATTTTGTAATTCCGTATATTTTCTTTCCACCTCAAGAGTGACCTATACCAAGATCTATATATAATATTACTCTAGCATGTGATATAATCCCTCATTCAAGCTATTAAGAATTTATAACCAGACAAAAAAAAATCTGAACAAGCTGAATTACCATATGTTTTTCTAAAGAAAAAAGTCAATAGAATTACCCTATACGCCAAAAGTCCACGTTTTTTTGTATTCATTGTTCGACCTTTTGTATGTGAAACATACTCCTTTGTAGATGTTCAATTCAAATGGAGTTTTCATGTTGTTGTCATCATGTTAAATGTGAATTTAACGATAAATAGTAGACAAATAAAGTAATTATTTCTTTACCAAACCAATTGCAACTAACATCTCAATTACAAACACTTGTTGCACCTGTTGCACGATCTTAATGTTGACGACTTCAGGTCTAAACCTCTTGATTGCACCTGTGCTAGTTCTCAATTCAGATATAATCCGACTGGTCACGTTATTACTGATGACATAAACATGGTCAATAACACTTTTCTGCAAAATGTGCTATTAAATAAAAGGCCTGAAATGTCATCAACTTAAACCCATCAATTGGAAATACTACTTCAAAATACTGATGGATTCAGTCGATGACTATGACAGGCAATTAGATTAAACATAAGAAAGAAGACCCAGATAATCTTTCCGAATGGACTAAGGCTGTGAGGTCGTTGATAAAAATCAGAATTAGAAACCTAAATGGGTCTACACATGCTACATCAATCTTCACAGACTCAAATGTTGTGAAGCACCTGTTCAACCTCCCTGACAATAATGTTATTGTCCCCGCAGATAAACACCCAAACAACATCGTTTTTATATGTTAATCACATCGTATAAACTGCATGATAAAAGAAGTAGGTATTGAAAATTCGTTTGAAAACTCAGTAAATACGCCCACAACATTTACCAAAAGGAAATCCCGGATAGTCATAGGTCTGTTATATTCTTCTTTATAATATCAACCAAAGATGAAGATCTTCTTTTACTGTATTGGATACTTAAATTAAATAAGTGTCCTTACAAACAACGTTATATTGCTGGGTCTTCAAAGTGCTTCACGAAACCTTTTTCTAAATTATCAATTTTCTCAGCAATCAAATCCGGGCTTCAAAGTGACTGTGAAACTAATGATTCTAGAGCGGTGAAATCAGATGTTGATACTAAAATTTTTACAGAGATCTGTTATAGTACATACAATCTAATACTCTTTCAGCTAGAACTAGTATTAACACATTTGACTTTCCTGCCCTTTAGCATGTTTAGACAAATATTCTCAATACCAAAGGACAAATTTAAAAAGATTTAATCGTTCAGTTATATTCTTTTATATTAAGGTGAGTTTACCGCTATACCTTCAGCTCATGACATTCATCGTCATGATGTATCAAGGGTTAGAGGTGAGGTAATTGATCTTGTAACGGGAATCTAATCTCATCTCAGGAAATTCAACATATTTTTGACATTTATACATCTTCTTAGAGGTTAATCGTTGTCTTAATGTATATAACAGTAAACTTATTAATTCAAAACGACAATGAATCTAATACGTTGGTTAAGGACAAAGATTTACCTGATACCCAAAAAAGACAGGAAAAAAAAATAAATAATAGATACGTAAAGCCAACATCACAGAAAACAGATAAATTTCCAAAATCTGTTACCAATTTCATTATCAGATATTAGTCCAGATGAAAGAGCTGACTGAAGTTGAACGATATTGTCTTAAATTGTAAAAACACTATAGAACTTCACGCTTTTAAATCTTTTAAACCAAGCGTTATGTTTTTCTACATCAAGTCATTCTACTGATGATGACTTAATTAGTATTAGATCAAGTAAAATAAATTATACAAAAACAAGCTTCAAAAGTGATTATCATGAGTCATAACCATGATAACTCTTATACAGTATTGCTTATAATTTCTGACACTTGACGTAGTTGAAATTCGGTCCTCCTTATTATGGTTTTGATATAAACCCTCAAGTATTTTGTGTACTGATGTTTCAGTTTATTTTCGACTGATGAGTTTAACTGTCCCTTTGGTATCTTTCGACTCTCTTTTACAGTGTTTTATCTTTAGGATCTAATAAGACACCATGACAACAACCGTACAACTTGGTGCTCATAAATCACATTCAACTTCAGGTCTCTATCTTAGACCAATGACAAGATCTGAGTCATAAAAGAGATAACGAAAGGTACTAAAAGGTAATTCAAACTCAGTCGAAAAAAGTAAAATAACAGAAATACCAAACTCCAAGGAAAACGGAAAGTCCCTTATCAAATGGCAAGATCAAAAGCTCAAACACATCAAATGAATGGAAAACAACTGTCATGTTCCTGACTTGGTACAGGCATTTCCCTATGTCGAAAATGGTTTTATAGCCAGCTAAAACTCTCACTTGTATGACAGTCGCATACAATTCCAATATATTGACAACAGTGTGTGAACAAAACAATTACTTTAGGAATATTTATCAATAAGTAGTAATTCAACATTCAGCCCCATTCTTATATTTAGTCAGACGTCAGTCGCTACCCTGATATACCCTATCTTTTGTTTTATTTTTCGGGTAATTTATGACGGATAGCGTTTGACGTCTTTAGCCGAACAGTATTATCATATTCACATAATTCAATTTATTGTGTGCTGGTTCATATTCTGGACGCCAGTCTTTGTTCCTTTCTAATAAAATCCACATAACAAAAAACAAATATGAAGCTTAGAAATGGAAAAATATTAAATACTAAACTCGTTCAAAGGGTATCTTCACGTCTCAATCTTCAAAATCGCTTATCTAAAAATACTACCATCGCTAACATTTTTAACAATAAAAATCGTGGTTACCCTTCAATCGATAAGTGTCATGCCAAAAAATGACTTACATGTCCCCGTCTTTCCACCAACAATACGGTAAGGTCTACGTTTAATGGTCGCACATTTTTCTTTAAATTTTAAGACTGATATAACTTGAAAAACAAACAGTATTATTTATTTACTCACATGAAACAAACCGGGATGCGGTATTCAGTACGTAG